ATATCTAAACTTTTCTGCTTCTGAGAGACAGGCAGCAGAGATAGGAGGGGGGAAGTGACTGGTGCCAGAAGATTGCTCTGAAGACACAGATTTGCAATGTCCCTGAATACATCTGCTCACATATCTGAAGACCATGGGGGTCTCTGGCTGGCAAGGGCAGGTGAAGCAATGATTCCTCACTGGAGTCTGCGATGTGATTTCTAGATAGCAGCCCCTATCTCTGCTCCCATGCTATTGGGCTGATAAGCAGCACTGCAAGAGCAGTGGTGGAGCATCTTGCAAGGCATAGCTTGCTTAGGCCAAAGGGGAGGGGACAGCATGCTTGGGGCAGGGCGGGAGGTGTGGTGGGACTGGTGGTATCCCGCTGCCCAGAAGCCTCCCTTGATCCAAACTGCCACGTAGTCCTGCTCGGTGTTGACTGTGGCCAGCAGCCAGCTTTCTCCTCCTGTTTCCTCTGGCTCGGTCAGGCACACTGACCTGGGAGGTGAGAGGAAAGGGAAGAGGGTAGTGATGGGTCCTGGGCACCTGTACATCCTCTGAGGAGGGACTCACCAGCACAGCCCTTTCCTCTGCTGTTAAATGTTTCAAGGGACCTGCCTGTTCTTGTGCAGGAGCAGGAGGCTGCTAGAAAGCAGATACCTAACTAGCCCAAACAGCCTTGACCCCTAAAACTATGTTGCCTGAAAAAAAACATCCCTTGATCAGGGCTGCACATGTTGCAAATCCCCTCACCACAGTGCAACCCCTGGGTTAAAAAGGATGTTTGCAAAAGCAGTGCTAGAAATGAATCTGGGGCTGTGACATTGTGACCTCTGGGGGAATTCAGAAGAACAGACCTTGTTTAGTCCATAAAAGAGATGATTACACCAGCTCAGGCACTGAGTGCATAAGGGATGTTTATAAGGATAATCAAGGATAATCCCTTTTTCCTGTCCCCAGAGACTTAAATCTGGTGCTACCCCTTTTCATGATAAGCACTGATACTACTGGTCCAACTTTTTTTTCCCAGCTGCTGCCTTCCCCACCCAAGCAGAGCAGGCATTGGACCCCTTTGCTGTGTTTTCCAGCAGCCTCTGGAGCTGTCCAGGCCTTTGCCCCTGGGGATGGGCAGGGCACCACAGCTGCCGGGCAGGGTGTGGAGCCAAGGAGGCTGTGTGAGCAGCTGGAGGCTCCTGAAGGACATGTCTGGGGATGCTGACCTTGTGCTGGGAGCTGATCTCCGAAAGGCAGTAGGGGGACTGCATGTCCCTACTAGGTGGGAGGGGAACCTGCCCACCCCATCTGGAGCATGCATGGGACATGGACACGGGGGAAAGTTGGTTCCTAGCACGTTGGCATCATCTTACTCACTGGAATGATGTTCAAGGCTGGGTGTCTTATCTTAATCCTTATCCAAGCCAGTGCTAGCAGAGCGGAGTGATGGAAACCATGCAGTGCATGGAAAGCAAAGCCTCATGTGGCAATTGGTGCATGTGACGGGGATGGTTTGCTTTGAGGGAGAAGCTGCATAAGGGAGTTGGTTAAAGCCTCCAAAGGTCTGTGTGTGGGTTGCTTCACCCTCTTGCAGAAAGAAAAAAAAAAAAAAATCCCCAACCAAGGAGCAAATTAAAAACAACCCTCAGTTGACAGGATACGTGGTTAACTGTTGGCGCCTGTCCCAAGCTGTAATCAAGGGTGGAAGAACAGCCAAACTGGGGAGAGGATTGGCCATGGATGTGGCTACCAGCTGTTGGAGGGATGGTACTTGCTGGAGTGGTGGTGGGGAGGGAGCCCAGCTCCCAGGCTGGGGCAGCTGGGCTCTGTGTCCCCAGCATGCTGCACTGGGGCAGGTTTTGGTGACCCCATGATGAGGCAGGTTGGGGGTGCTCAGTGGATGCTACTGCCATAACCCCTCAGCTCTTGGCTGCCATGCCCAGGTCAGGCACTGGTCACCACCAGGGAGGTGGCCCTGGGATGGGGGTGTGGCAGCTTTGGGTGCGTTGCCTGTGAGCATAGTTTGAGATGAGGCTGTTTCTTGCTGTCCTGCAGTTTTGGGGGGATCCTCGCTGCTAGGCATTGCCGCATCCCCTTGTGATCGCTGGCAGAGACTCAAGAGACCAGCAGCAAAGTCAGCTCCTTTCCGGAGCGCTCTCCTGCTGCGACAGGCATGCATGGGGCATGGCCCAGGGGCAGGAAAAAGGCTTTTCCAGAGTTGTTTAAAGCAGAGTTGTTTAAAGCAGAGACTTCCTCATCTGTCCAAAAGATGACGCATTTCAGAAGCAAAAAGCAAAATAAGCCCCGTTGTTCCAGACCTCCCCAGTTTCTCCTGACTGGGTCTCTCCCAGGTGCTGTCCCTGCTGCCAGCCTGTGTCCAATGGGATCAGCGCAGCCTTGGGGCATCACTCTCCTGCAGGATCCATGCCCTGCCATCCCAATCAGAGCAAGGAGCTGCAGCCTGGGGCGGGACTTGGCATAAGAATCACTGTGGGTCTTGGGACTGCAGTGCAACATCTGCTTCCATGTGCAGGCAGATGCCCCAAGTCCAAAAACCAAAGCAGAGCTGTGAATGCAGCAGTTTCTCCCTGCTGGAAGCTGTCTACAAGTGGTTTTATTCCTTCACGGGGAGCAAACCTACCACATTTGACCTTCAGCATCAGCCTCATGTCCCCTGATGCCCAGGGTGGGAATGCACAGTGCTTGGCCCATGGCAGAGCTCCCTCCAAAGGTACTTCTTTAGAGGCTGAGCAATGATGTTCACATACCTCTGCCTTGTTTTGGATCCTCTGGCCTGTTGGCTGCTGTTTTCCTTTTGCAAAGGAGCCTGCTGAAGGGTGGGGAGCACCCCAGCCCCTGCCCCAGGAGCCTGGTGGAGGCGGGGGCTGCTCAGAGGGGGTGGCCAGCAGCCAGGGTGATGAGATGTGGTCTTTGGAGACCTCCTCCTCCATCTCTCCTTAAGGACAATAACTATGTCATCTTCCCATCCCCCTTCTGTCCTGCAGCTCTTTTCTCATCTTCCCCCCTGCCCACCCTTTCTTTCTGGCTTTGAGCTGTAGGTAAGGGTGTTTGGAAAGGAATAAACTGGAAGTTAATCCAGGAAAGCTCCTTGCTCCTGTGCTGTCCCCTCTTTTGGTGGCCCAAGCCAGCTTCTGGCTCATCCCCAGCCCTTCCTGCCCTGGGGCAGCGGAGTTGAGCATGAGAGGGGTGTCATGCTGAAAATCTTGCAATGGGTGAAAAGGAAACGCAGCCAAGAATTTTTTATTAATATAACTGAAGTTTAAACAGTGAACGAGCAGTTTTTAGCTCAGATCTAGATTCCAGAAAAGGAAAATAAAGCAATGAATGCTGTTGTACAGTACTAGTAATACAGCTCTGCATTTCTTTAGCTGGTCTTTGGTGAGCCGTTTCTCGCCTTGGGGTCCCCAGCACATCACCCCATGCCTGCCCTGCCACTCGTCCAGTGTCCCCACACTCCTGTATCCCTCTGGGCAGCATCCTTATGGGAGAGTGGTGAACACATTAATCTGCTCAGAGAAACTGTCCTGTTACAGCTGTCTGTACTCAACCTGAGTGTCTCCTACAAAGGTGAGGAAATGAAAAATAAATGAAGCGTCACCACTTGGCCATTGGGGAAATAATTAAGTCAAACAAAAGCTGTGGGCAGATTGAAATGAGCTCAGGAGGTGCCTCTCTCCAGAGGCCTTGCAATCTGGGTGTGTGGCCTGGGGTCTGACGCAGGGGCTGGCAACGCTGACCAGCCCACCCAGCACTGGCAATCGTGCCCCCCACCCCGTGATGGATCTGCAGCCCCACGTCTGTGCTGCTGGGGGGAAATGAGAGCAGCCAAATACGCCCTGGGAGCTGATGGGCAGTTTTATTACATGACATCTTGAAGCAGTGCCACAAAGGTGTGACATCTTCCCTCCAGGGCATTTGTCCCCACTGGAACAGGGATAAGAAGGGTTTCAATGCCATCCTTTTAACCCTTTTTTGGCTGTTTCTCCTGCCAATTCCCCTCCCTCCCTGCCCCTTCCCCACTTTTTCCCTCTGCCAAGCATATTTCTGCATTAAGTCTCAATGCACTGCGCCAGCCTGGTGTGGGGACCATCCCCAGGGCAGGCTGCTGCTGCTGGGGGGGGTCAACCGAGCTGGAACCAGGCAGGGAAGCCACTGGTGTCCTTTGGGAGCAAAGCCTGTGGTGCTGGGGAGCGGCATCTGTTGCGGAGCATGGGCTCAGTCCCTGCCTCCACGGGGTGAATGATGGGTCTGTCCTCTGCCTCCACAGGGTGACATGGGATGGCTGCTGGCTCTGCTAGCAGCTCCCTCCTGTGCACAAGAAGATCCCCACAGCCATGCCCAGCAAGGCAAAGGACCCCAGGATCAGGCCCAGCACCAGCGGGGCATGCGACCGGCTGCTCTGTTTTCCTGCAAGAGGCAAGAGGAATGGAGGTGATGACTGGGGTCACCGCCACCACACCACCGTGTTCCCCCACCCCCAGCCCTGGCACAGACCTGTCCAGGCACTCTGAGCCCGCAAGATGTCAACGCAGGTGGTGTTGAGGAAATGCTGGAGGTCCCGGGTCGTCATGGGGTACTTCATCAGCTCCCTCTCAGCAAAGGTGGCCACCGCATCCCTGCCAGGCCAGCGCCGCTCCCAGGTGGCATTGGGGACATGGAAGCTGAGGAAAGCCGTCCCATTGAGGGTCACCTCATAGAAGCTGTAGGCCGTGCCATTAGGGAAGAGGCAGCAGCCCAGGCGGCAGCACAGGCTCTGGGTGTCTGCAGGGACAGAGGGAGCGGGTCAGGGTCAGCACACTCCCACCCTCGGCAGCCCATTGCCATCACCAGCATCAAGCTGTGCACTGAGTTTGCAAGGCCTCAGTCTTGCACCACCCGACCCACCCACAGCTTTGTTTTCGCTTGGCTAAAGCTGCAGCGGCATCTTTTCCAATGGCCAGGCAGCTGTGCTTATTTTTCCCTTCCTTATCTGTGTACAGCAGAGTTTCGGTTTTGCAGAGATGGGAGGTTTTTCGGCGGAGAGTGAGCTATTTATCACTCTTGTGGAAGCATGCAGCACAGGTAGCATGGGGCAAGGGGAGGCATGGGGCTCACACCTGAGACCCTGAGGTGAGAAAGTGCTCCCCAAGGGTGAGGTAAAGAAATGCAGAGCTGGGGCAAAACTGGTTTGGGGGTAGCAAAGAAACCAAAGGTAAAACACACCCTGCGTAGGAGCACTGGAGGTAACATGGGTTTGTGGAGAAATGCAGGCAGGAACATGAAACCGTTGCCATCAGCATCCTCACACCTCCCACAAAGGCTGCAGGGTGCAGGCAGGGTGCACACAGAGTGTAGACAGGATGCAGGTAGGGTGCAGGTGAGATGCAGGCAGGATGCAGGTGGGGTGCAGGCGGGACGAAGGCAGGCTACAGGTGGGTGCAGGAAGGGTGCCTACACCTCACCATTCCTCCGGGCTGCAGCCCTCAGCCCAGCTCCCGGAGGGGCAGCACGATGTTGACCACTACCCTGTTCCCCAGGTAGGCTCTGGGTAAGAAATTCCCCACCCTGCAGAAGGGGTCCTTTTGCCCAGAGTGAGGTTTTGCACGTGGCTGTGCCCCCATCCCTTTGCCCAGCTGTCCCTGGAGAGCCATGCCTGTGCCCAGGCAGTGCAAGCAGGGTGAGACCTTCCCCACTGAGACCTGTCCCCCATCGGGCCATGCGTCCCATCCCTGTGCCCCT